ATATTTAAATATATAACACACACATATGTACCCAAATCGATTTTATATGCAATCGTGTATCAATTTTTATCCACTTAACATTCGCCAGAATTTTTAAATACTGTTTTTACTCGAAATTCGACGAAAGCAAATTCGTTGGAACTAATCGTTCGTCGATGCGGACGAAATTAAGTAGCTGGTTTAGTAGCTTTGCATGTTCCGTCGTCCGCCTTTGTACCTCGTACGTTCTCTCTACGTCTGGCGAGCAAAAACATTTTTCCGCGACGCTGGCCGTCGCGTTGCACCGTGAACACTCGAAACGGCGCTCGGTAAATGTGAACACAATTGTTGAATTACTTTTGCAAGCGACGTCGTCTGACCAGCGCCGGGGCTTTCAAGAAACGCGAGTAATTAAAAATATTGCGTCGAGCAAACGCAAAGAGAATCATAAAAACAAGTGTTTTTACAGAATGAACGATTTAGGATTTGTCATTCTTAAGCCTCTGTAATAATTTCGATCTTTTAAAACACGTTTATAAAATGATAGAACGTTTTATTATTTAATATTTTGAGATAAGAAAAATTTTGATACGAGAAAAGAAAGCGTCTTGAAAAATGTTTCTAAAATGTGAAGAGAGATAATTCTGTGGAGCCAACGTGACTCGGAGGAAACGTTGAGAAAGAACAGTGGCTGGACAAGCTGGTGACGCAGGTATGCGATAGATAGGAAGCTGAAAACAAAGACATTGACACGGGGAGTGATCAAGGAAGGAGTAGAGAATAAAGAGGAGCGGAGATTCGCCGAGACAGCGTGACGTGGCACGAGATAAAACGGACGAATAAGAAGAATAGCGGAGGAACGTGAAGCACGTGCGTCGTGGTAAGAAAGACGAGCCGTGCTTATTGGCCGGGTTTCATGTGCCGAATACAGAGAGATAACACTTCTTCTCTGATTTACCCGGTTTGTTAGCATGCCTCGTTTAACCGCGTAACGAGAACCTTGTTTTGTTCCGACTGAAACGCGAACTGTTGCACCCTCGATGCGTCCACAATTATGTGGAGTTCTCTAGCGAAGTGAACAACCACGGCCAGTCCTTACAAATATTAGTTTTGTTAATTGTTTCTTCTATGGAACAAGGAAACTTGTTTGTATATACAAAGGAATTTTTAAAATTAGTTAAAAATTGTTCGG